TCCTACCCTCCCTTACTTGTTTATAAATTCCTTTGAATAAAAACTTGAGCCTCTAGTGGCCTGAAAAGACTCAAGTAAATACTTTCTCTACTAAGAACAAGAAGGTTTTAAGAAGTAAAAGAACTGACAAGTGGAGTGTCACCTTATAGAGCTGGAAGTGACAAAATATAGAGGTTCTGTTGACAGAGGAAGGCTTATTTTCCACCTTCTCACATACTGTCTTATATCCTCTTAAAGTGTTTACTATTTTTCACAATTTTCTTGGGGGATTTTGTCTATCTCAGTTTGATCCTGAATTTTTGGTAGCATAACGTCACCTGGCATTTGGTTGGTTAACACAAAACACGTTAGTAGCTGAATGTACTATAAACAAGCTCCTATTGATCACCTCATGTGTTCTGATGATGTCATTGGTGATTGAAAGAGAAATCAAGGATACGAATTCCTCCACTCCTTCAAATGGAGTTTAACTGAAGTAAAGAAATCATGAGGCCATTAGGATGGGCACTAAATTCTCTAGGTAGTGAAAAGGTGGTTATTTGTTTAAGCTGAGGCCTTCAACTTCTTATTATCCCGGTCAGGCAAAGTACGTAAAGAAGATTATTTCCTTATCCCGGTCAGGCTGTAAGATCGAAAAGCAAAGAAATATAAAACACTACCCTTTTCTAGAATTGAGAATATATTTCCTCAAACATTGAGTAATGATATTGCAATCAAGATGAATATTAGTAAAATTCCTTTAACTAGGCATGATTGCTGAAAGATATCGAGAGTTACCCACAAAACTGAAAAGCCACATAAGAACCTAGGGTCCACCATTAGTCATCTTCTTCTATGCAGATGGATACAAAATCAAGATCAAAAGAAAAGAAGCATCGAGTAAGATACTGAATCCAAGTAGGCAATAAGTACCTCAGACGATTGCAAGAAAATAATCAAAAATACAAATGAATAAGTTCTTCAGATGGTTAGGAAGAAGAAGGATATCCCAGAAGGGTTGACTTCTAATAAGAAGAGGTTTCTAATAGAGATTCTTTGAAGAACATGGAGCATTTTAATTTTCTTTTTTCTTTTCATTTTCATGTAGTGCGCTTGCACATTTTTAGATATATCTTTTTTTTTTATTTTTCCTTTCCTCTTTTGTAATTTCTTAAATTCAGTTCCTTGGAGAATAATAAGTAGTGACAACCTGCTAGCAATAATGGATAAGTTAGGAGGGTCTTCACCCAAAACTTAGTTCGAAGTGAAATATTGTCCCCAAAGTTACACTTAGAGACTGAAACTCTTTTGAGAATTGTAAGCTATTGACAAGTGTATTAGTACAAGTCTTTTAGTTTAGCTATGATGCAATTGCTCTATGTATCTCTATCGGTTTTCTTAATGATTAATAAACACACAGTACTAATCTAACCACAGGTATAAAAAAAAAATTATTCAAATTGCTTAATAATAAAAGGTCTTTATTATATCTTAAATCCTGAAACCAACGTACTTTCAAAGGGCTTCTGTCATATTCAACTCTGCATAATCACAAAATTGATAGAAGAAGTTAACTTTGTCTGGCACAAAAAATATCAAACTCATATTATCTTCTCAATAATCTAGATGAGATACAAGTTCAAATACTATAGAGACCTAATAGTAATCCTATTATCATCTTATCAGTAAGATCAAAATATATTTCAAATATCAAAATAGATAACATTGTGATAACACAAGTAATAAGAGGATTTGAAGTCAAACACAACAATAATCTAGCCTTATATCAATATAAGTCAAATTTGTATCATGAATTTTGACTAATTCTTATTGAGATTCTGGGAAATATATACAACTCGAATAAAGTAGATTGCTATTTAAAACAAATACCAAAAGATGATATGTCATTGTACATCAATAGAGGGTCAAAATACAATATAGCTATATGATTGAGCATTGCAGATATTTACTAATCTTAAATGGATAATCCTAACACTTACTAAAATAAATACTAATTGATGAAAAGTAATATTCAAAAATACAATACTACTTCAATTTTTGAGCCAAAAAACTATAACACATCATTGTGAATCAATCAAATGGTGAATCCAAGTCTTATCCATTGGATTAAATTTGTGAATTATTATACAAGAATGTTTGTTATAAATGAAAGTCAAAAATATCAATATAAACCTGATAATATATAAGTATTTCAGTTAATCAAGAAGGCGAATGAAAAATGCTGGAAAAATAACAAATATAAATACAGAACTCTTGAAATATTTAGAACAAAACTTTTGTTCAACTTATTGCCAACAAGAGTCAAGTTACATACAAAATATCCTACATTATATTCTAATGAAAAATGCCTAAAATGTAATTATATAAAAGAAGATCAAACATATATCTTTAATTGTATCAAAAGTAGACCAACAATTAAAAACAAAATAATGAAACTCAATAAAATCTTACAAGATCAATATAACAAACATGATAAGAAAAAACAACCAGACACAACTAAAAGATTAATTCCCAGCTTGACTACAGAAAATATCTTAATAGATATTATCATAGGAAAACCAAATATTTATTTGAATTTATTAACAAATAAATTATTACAAATTCAACTTATGAATACAGCCTTGAAAATTACATACAAAATCTGGAAACAATGATCTGATACTACTAATTGTTCACCAGTTTCAGGTATTAAATAGAAAAATATTAAAGCAGTATCCAATGCTATACAAAAACATAATCTTATAAACAATAACTTTATTTTAACATCTATAATTGAGATATCTAAAAATTTTAATAATTCAACTAACAAATCAATATTTTCACCCACAACAATAGCATCATTTTTGAGTGGGCATTAGCCATTTGACCCTAAGTTGATGAATATGGTTTCGAATTATTAATTGATCAAATTAGGAAAATCGCATTAGGCTATAGTTAATTTACATTGTAAAGACTATTAATGTCAGGTTAATAAATTAAATTTCTAATAAAACTCGTATTTAATGCTCATTTACGATTAAAAAAAAAAAATAATAATAATTGTTTGTAATAAATTTTATTTGAAAAATGGGTAGTTTTATTAAATATTTTATTTTAAATTACTTTTAAACTATAATAATTGTTTAATATATAATATTATTTCAAAATAATTCTAAAACCCTAATTTTAAAACCTATATTTTAAATTGGAATATTTTAAGTTAAATATTTAAATTTTAAATATTCTAATATAATATTAAATAAAAAAATTAAAATCCTATTTAAAAGAGTTAATACCAACTTATTTTAACTTTAATATATAAAATCATATAAAATCAATATTATTATATAAGTAAAGATAAATTCCTAAAGGAAAAGATAAAAACGAAAATCAAATATTTTTTATTGGAAAACATTAGAATTTTTAAATTAATAACTAAAAATATTATTTATAATTGTTTTTTATTATTTAAATCGTTTATTTATAGTATTTTTTGAATTTTGTCCCTATTAAAATAAAAGGTTATAAATTTTGTTCCTAAAGAAGAAACCTGCAAAATTCTATACTTTAGGGATCTATCATTACGCATGGGTAAATAATCTGTTGTTTTATTAATATAAATAGTATTGATTGAAATAATTAGCAGAAGGTTTTATGTATTAGTCATATACAGTATATTATGCTATACGATACCTTAATAATTATTAATAAGCTAGATATTATAATACTTTTTACTTGAATCTTAAAAGAAATTCTAATCTTTATTATCACTTGAAATATTATAAATAAGTTTTATTTAATTAAGTTTAAGTTTTTATTTAAGCAAGATTAAACACAATATTTCGGCTAATATTATTATTACTATCTACAAATTTTAATAAAATCTAAATATGTACATTGATTCTAATATTTCTGAATGCGATCTAAATTATGGTCTCCGATCACAAATCTCCGGCGGCTTTAAATAACCATAATTGAATCAATAGAGGTACCATCATCATTATTATTATACATATAGTACTAAAGAGGCATAATTCAATTAAAGACTTTTCATAATTATCGATTTTAAATCATAATTTTATAATTTCAAACTGTATCATTTAACACTCTTATTTCTGAGATGCTTTTTAAATTTTTATTTCTCATCAATTAATTAATTTCTATGGGAGAGAACAGAATGAATAAAAAAATTTTAAAATTAGATATTAGAAAGCAATTAATCTAAATTGAATGATACCTGCGAATTTATTCACTCTGATTTTGAAGATGAGTTATACGTAGTATTCTCTAGATCAGGTAAGGGATCCTCTTTACCATCGTTATTTTCGTGGGTTTTATTTTCATCGTCGGTGGTATTGTTCAAAGGATTCACTGAGAATTCAAAAGAGTAAAATTAAAAATTAATTGGATTATAAAAGGTAATCGATTATAAAGGTTAAAAAATAGAAGCCTCGTACAATTATTAGGGATAGAAAGTTCGTATTGTTTCAAAACATCTTCATCGGTTTGTTCATTTCCTGGCTCAGGATAATATTGACGGCGTTGCATGAGACTCCCGGTAGAAAAGAAACCTTCATTATACACGAAAAATTTTAAAATACAGATATCATATCATAGTGGTCACTTCACAACCGAAAACCGACTCACTTTCATCGCGCACAAGAATCGAGGCCAAATCCTGTGGACTGATTTGCGTGCGTCCATTGTCATGTTCACTGTAAGACTGAGACCTTTTCGGTGTTCTTTGGTTATTCTTCGGTAGGGGAAGCGCCGGAAATTTTAACAACCTGCTAGTGTAAATCGCTTGAGGGTGAATTTTTGGAGGGGCTATCATCCTACCGGGATCAGGGTTCAACCCTTTAAGCAACACTCGTTTAACTCTCTTCTGCTCAGCGGCATCAAATTGATCTTTTTGTTTTTCATAGAGATGCCACTCGCTTAATTTATTTACCAATTCTGATGCGGTTGGACGTCTGTCTGGATCGTGGTGCCAACATAATATCATCAATTCGACATAACATTCAGGTACATCTTCGCGTTGTTCCGGTCTCCACCCACCAATTATTTCCGAAATAAGCCTTGCGTCATGTGGTCTATCATAGAAAGGGGGTTTATTAGACGAGAATTCCCACATGAGCATTCCAAAGCTGTAGATATCAACTTTGGGAGAATACTTTTCGCCATCGAGGATTTCTGGCGCAATATAAGGTAAGAGGTCATATCTATAATATCCAATTACAGGAATCATATCTTTTCCTTCACCTAATCCTAGTTCATTAAGTGGAATCTCTATGTGAGATTTAATAGTATTGTTATTATCATATCTTGCTTGCACTTGATCACTTTTTAAATTTTCGAGAGCACACGCAATAGCATGCAGGATTGCTATTTTATTTACCCACGTGAGACGAACAAAGTGATGAGAAACATAATGACGCAAATCCCATTCGACAGTTTCGGCGACCATCATAAAGTTGTTAGTCACAGATTCACGCGTCACGCCGAGAAGGCGCAGGATGAGACCATTGTTATTTCGAGAATAGAAATGTATTTTAAGCTATTAATATAATTAACAAAATATTTTAATGATTTATAACAAATAATGAGGGATTTCGAAATCAGTGTAGCGATGAATGTACCTCTTTCAAAAAAAGCGAAGCAGAATCACCAAGAGAAGTCAAGCCAACTTTAAGAAACCCTCTTTTCGTAACAAATTGGCCCTCCGCATGATCCCAAGTATCTGCAGGACCTTTTGCCCAATTAGCAGTGAACAAGGTGCCAACCTCAGAAATTTCAGATTTATTAACATTGATAAAAGCGGAAAAAGGGATCCACTCCAGATATTGATTACATTCTTCAGCTTCCATTTGAGTTTGCCTTATGAATTCGTCGATATTCTTGTCTCCAGTTGTCCAATTATCAAAATTTTCTTTAAAGTGTCGTTGTTGACATGATTTACACCACCAAGAGTTATCGGTCAGCCTTTGATCACATTCAGGGCAATAGTGCTTTTGATTACTCATTTTTTCTTTTTAACCAGCTTTCGAAAAGAAAGTTAAATGACGATGAGAAAATGGCAATTTCGCCAAAACACCAAGTTAACGCTAATAAAAATATAAATAATTCAAATGGCCCAAAAATGATTACCAGTGACGTCGCTACCTATCCTTCAAAATAAAGTTTTTCAGGTGATTAATAAGTTGATAAAAGCTTCGAAGGATCTCGTTTCTATTTATAAATTTTTGGGATCACAGATCATCATAAACAGGTTATAAACAACGGAGAAATACTGTGCAAGTGAAGATTCTGTGGAAAAAGATCGGAACCATTCAAGCAGAGGATTCAAGGTACACAAGTTCTTCCTTTTTGGTGAAAATCGATACCTGGTAATTACAGATAAGCAAGAAACAAGCAGGCAATCGTTGTGTAATTGGAAAAGTGAAAAAAAAAAAAAGATTTCGTTAAAAGATATCTTAATATGCATGCACATGCAAAATATATGCAAGTACTAAAATGACAATGTTCCGTTCCCTCCCGCCTTCAAAAAACGATTGTATGGAAAATTAGGGGTTGAAAAACGGCGTTACTCCTGTAGCGCCAGTACTAATGTATGTGTAATAATTTATATTATTCAAGCGAGATGTCAACTGCGTGGCATTTCTATTGTTAGTTTTTAAGAAAGTACCTTTACATTGTTTCTTAGTAAGCCATGTTTCTGGGACTAACTTAATTGGGGTTTTAATTAGTTCCACGGTTGACTGTGTACGTGACGAAAAACTTTTAATTTGAAATACTGTATGTCGGCAACAAACAATCAAACAATCGACTGAAAAACCTTAATATATCATTTATAAATATTTTTTCTTATAATATCTTAAACTTAATATTAACATATTTTTAATCTCTTCAACATTAATGTTCTTTGGAAAGTCAACAATAATAATAATAATTATTATTATTATTATTATTATTTGTTAAAAGAATTAATTTATCTTTTTTTTATGAAAGAGATAAAAAGAATTTTTATAAATAAAAAATTATTATTTAGTATAAATCAAATTTACAATATAATATAATAATTATTTTTTTGTATAATCTATACTCTTTATCAGATTAATTATAAGTACTTTATCAATATTTGTATGCCTTATATTAAGTCTATACTATTAAAACTATATTTTTATCTAATTTACTTATCTTGATTCTAGATTTTGTTTTATTTTATAAACCCTAAGTATTACATTAAAAGTAATTTGTTATTTTATTAATAGTTCAAATAAAAGTTCTTTTAACTTTTAATATTATTATTTGTAAAATATTACTATAAATGCTTGTTAAAGTTTTAATATAAATATAAATCTAATTACTTTATATCAAGTTTTACTTTATTTGTCAAAATCTTTGTAAGGTTTTTATTTTTATTTTTTCATTATCTTTTAATTTTATTTTGTTTTGATTATAGATTTTTTGTTTCACTTGTTTCAATAATTTTTTAAAGTTTTTATTTTTATTTACTGATTAAACTAATTCTCTTGCTTTATTCAAATATGTTATTCAATTTCCAGCTTTGAAAAGTTATATTCATATTTCTAGCTAACTTTAATACTAGAAGTGTAAAGTTATCTTTATCTGATAAATGATGTAAGGAATCACAAGTAAGTAGATTATTAAACTTTTAATATCTAATTTGTACTTGTTTGAGTTTAATAACTGTTATAACTCCTGCTGATCCTTGATTATTAAGTCTATTGCATAATTTTGTTATCTAGTTTTCTCTTTGTAACAGCTAAATGCTTTTAAGTTGTAGATTTTTGGATGATATATGACACTATTTGATGTTGATTCACTGAGAATAATTTTATTCTTGAAGAGCTTTCTATATGCTAATGTTAAAATATTATATATTTTCCAAGACAGTATACTGTATTGTATTTGGAACTCGATTTTTGGTATTAGGACTCTATTCAATATATAGAGTATTTGTTTATTTTTTAGAGCTTTGGTGACTACATTGATTTCTCTTAACATTTTTTCCTTGAGTTCAATTGCAATCTTTTGATTGCCTGTTCAGATTTCTAGAAACCTTACTTGCTCAGTTCTATCTAATTCTTTGATTATTTCTTTATTAATATTGCTTGAACTTCTATCAGATATTGATTATAATTATTAATAGTAACTAGCATTGATTTGTTACTATTAATTTAAAAGTTATTTGCCTTATATAAAATTCTTGTTTCTTCTAGAATTTTTTTTATAGTTTTTTTGAATCTAGCAATCCATATAATATCATTCATAAAGGCAATAGTTGCATGTCAAGATTCTAGTTTTCTTGTATTATTTTCTATTAGATCTGGATTCCAAGAAACTGTTATCTTGTATTCTTATTCTTTATTGTTTTGAATCTTGCATAGAAGAGGGTCATAGAATATTCTTCATATCAGGGAAGAGATAGTTTTCTCTTGATCTATTTCATCTCCTGCTATTATTAGACTTGTTAAGTTGTTTTCATAAATAACTCTAAACTTCTTATTTTGAAATAAATTTATTACTATATTAATAAAGTCAGCTAAAATTTTAATTCTTTCCATCACTTTTTTTAATATATCCAGGCTAATAGTATCATATGCCTAGATGTATCTTGAAAAAGTATCTAGAGTTCCTTTTTTACTTTTCCATGCATTTTCACAGATATTGTTTAAAATCTGGATAGGTTCGGCTATACTTTTGCTAAGAAGTTCTATATAGTTGGAACCTTTGAGGATGTTATTTATCTTACAAATATTTTCTAATTTGTTAGTAAGAATTTTTGTAAAGCACTTTCTTGTTACTTTTAGCAAAACTATGGGTCTTGTATTTACCAGGTCACATCCCCATTGTTTTGACTTTGCAATTGAATATATATAATTCTGTTTCCATAATATTGGAGTTGTTTCCTATCTTAGAAAGTTGTTGAACATTTTTCTCAAGTATTCTTTTCCTTTAGATCCTAATCTCTTCAATATTTCATAGTTGATTTGTGATTTGCCTAGGACTTTATTATTAGAAAATGTTTGTAGTAATTCACTTAGTTTCTCTTGTGAAATTAGTTTTAAGAGATTTTTATATCATATCTTTTTAATATAGTTTTTGGGCTTGTATTCTATTTTCCAATTACTTGTTAGACTGTCAAAATCAACATTTCACTTTTTGAAGATATCTTTATGATATATTCATATCTCTTCTTTCACTTTTTCTTGGTTATTATATATTTAGATTCATCTTACTTGATTTTAATTCTATCCAATATTATTTTTATCCTTTCTCTATCTGTTAGTGAGTTTACCATTCATTTTTAATTAATTCTCAGAACTTCATATTTTTGTTCAAGGGTTGATTTAATTTTATCTCTTGCTTTTTTTCTTTCCAGCTTCTAATATACTATAATCAAATTTATATTTGACTGGTGTGTCCAAGTGAAATTGCTTTTAAAAGGACAATTCTCAAAAAAAGAATTAAAGAAGCAGTTTATAATAAAGAAATATTCAAGAATAGATTTACCAAAAATTCTTTAAACAATGTTACACAGTATTTCACAAAAAATATGGTTCACTCAGAACTCAAGTTTATTAATAAAAAACTAAGACAATTCCTTTAGTCCTAAAATTAAAAGAAAATATCCAATCTTCAAGAAATCAAAATGAAGTTATATTCAAACTTCTAAAGTCAAGTGAAGCTATCTACAAACTAACTATACTTTTGAATAAATTATGACTGCTTATATACTTGTAAAAATGTACCATTTGGACCTTCTAGGCCTCTTGGACTGCCTAATCTACAGTAAATTATGTTACATGCTATATTTGATAAAGTGATCTACATTAATTAAGTATCAATAAGAATATAAAAAAATATTAAAAAAATAATTATTAATAAATAGATAAAAATGAAAATATAATGAAGATTATAATTAAAAATAACTATCCAATAGTATTAGGGACTATTTTTATCACAATACTAGCTTGAGACCTTCTATTTTTTTTTTTTTTTTTAAATGCCAGCATAGTATATTTATAAGCATTAATAAAGACAAATTCAAAATTACATTGAAAGTATCATAGACATTATAAGGGCTAATAAACTACCTAAAACCAAATAGTTTACTGGATTACTTTTTACTGCTCCACCAAGAGGGGAGAGAACTAGTCTAAGGTTACTTTTTAGCTAGTGCAAGAAATAATGAAAGAAATAAAATGGGTGCTGTTGTACAAGGACCAAAGTTTCTTCTACTACTGACCATCCACTGAGACTAATTCCAAGGAAATTCAACATCTACAAATTATTCACTGAAGTGTTGTGTTTTTTCATCTTTGAAAAGAAGGAGGAAATATTTTTCTTCTGGCTAGGGAAAGGGTATGGTTTTAGATTCTAGCTTTATTGATATTATCTCATCTGGTTTTTTGCCTAGGGAATTACTTATCCAAAGATCGGATGGGACCTATAGCTAGGAGGGACCTTAAAACTATGGTGGATTGATGACCTAGTCCTAAAAATAATGCCAGCTTCAAGCATAAGCTACTTATTTAAGAAGGCGCAACTCTTCCAAAGTTAGGTTAAGTCTCTAGGAGATCTTCCAATCTAGCAGTTATTTTCAACTTGTACTTTTACCAAGAGTAAAATTGGTGGATACCACTAGTGGCCTAGATGGCCATACTAGAGAAGAAGTCATGTTAAGAGTCTTGATATAAGTTATCAGTTTATAATTCTTCTTTTCGTGGAGTCTGTTGTATCTCTTGGTTCTGCTTGTTTCTTGTTTAGGACTCAGTTCTGTATCCAGAGCATTATGCTTTTTTTTTCTTGAGGGCTTGTAATGTTCCTTTAACATCATACCATACTAAATTTGTCTTGTTGTGGACATGTCAGATTATTTCTATCGATGCACGAGTTCTCTTGTTCATAAGCCTGTCCTTTCTCTCTCTTTCCCTTTTTCTGTAATGTAGGAGATGACTGTGTCCTGTATTCACCCACATAGAAACTATATAACTTA